TTAATATTTATTTAATTTTATTATTATTATCATTTTTTAATTTGCTATATGGTACATGTGCTCAGCAGAAAAAGATAGCGAGAGAGGAAACATGAGAAAGCAAGCCACCAGGTTCAGTCTCGAACCAGTCCAGCGCCTTAATCACTATACCACTTGCTGGCCCACCTTAATCACTAGACCACCTGCTGGCCCCCCAGAAAAAAAATGTAATTGAACATTAAATGGTGTTTTTTTTTCCTTTTTCTTCTTCTTCTTGCAAAGATAAAGAGTAACGACTCTTTAGGACAAAGAATGCATGCAGTACAAAGCAACTGATGTGGCTGAGATCTTCTAGGAGAACAATCCCTGAGGACTGGCAAGGAATTAGACTCCCTCTGGAGTAAATCTCAGAGATGTACTAGAAAGGCAGTGGGCCCCGAGCTGAAGCCAACTAGTGCTTGGTAAACAAATCGAATCATTTTGCTTTCTGTCCAATTGCAGGCCCACCTTCAGAGCAGCTCAAATGAGAGTTCTTAAGGAAAAAAATAGAAGTTCAAAGTTTCATTTACAAAGTGGATGCTATTTGATTTGTGGAGGAACAGCCTGTGTTTTTGTTTTGTCAGAGCTTCTGAATGGCAATTCCAGAAAAATGTGCTGAGTCATGAATCCCTAAGGACAAAAGATTTTGACAAGACTATGCTTCGGCAAGAGACGTGACAGTTGGACAAATGAGGGCTAACAGAAGGCTCATTATTCTGCTCCTAAGCAAAGTCCTTTAATGCAAACATTTACCCGACACCTGAGCCCAGGCACACTTAATACCTCGCTCAGGTACTGAGAACCCACACACTTAACAATAGTGACAACCGCGAGAACAAAAATAGCTAATATTCCTTAGATATTTTATTTAATTCCCACAATAGTCCTGTGCTATGTTTTATAAATGAAAAAACTGAGACTTTGAGAACTGAACAATTTGTTCCCCCCGCCACAGAGACAGTAATGGTTTGAGCCCAGGCAATCTAGTTGTAGAATCACAGCCTTAACAAGAATTTACCCCCAAACACCAAGACTCTTCAAAATTGTTCATGGAGAATACATATGATGAAAAACTATGTATGTATTTCAGATTTTTATAAACCAAAATAAGCTTGTGTTTAATTCTATTAGGCCAAGAACTTTCCAAGTCCTTTTGTATTATCCATGCATTCATAGAGCTCTGATCATTCTGTTTGACTCTGGTTAAACTCCTTACTCAAAGGGGGATCTTAAGTCAGTCAGTGGATGGTTGTTAAAGTGGTTGGACCCAACATGGCCAACAATGCAGTTCAAGTCCTGGAAATGATGGCTTGAAAACCATGCTGGACATGTGTGCATACATGCCCAAAATCCCAAGAGGAGAAGGGATTGCAGCATGGTCATCCTTCCGGGAGGGTGCTTTCTCTCTGTCTCTGGAAATACACTTTCTATAACGATAAGAAGAAGATGATATAGATGAAGATGAAGAAGAAAAGATGGCTTTTGGTAACTGGCATCTTTCAGATACAACTGAATATAAAGCAAAAGGTCCCAAGATTGTTATTAATGGAAGAGAAAATTGTATGTCTAGCACTGCTAATGTAAATTGTGTGTTTTATGTATTCAATATAGTACTCCTTCTAAATAAACAGACATTCTTTCCCTCAAAATGAAGCCTTCCTTTATTTCCTGGAACTTCCAGAGTTAAGCAAGCTCTACACTGAGGCAAGGAGGCAGGGATATCTGGGAGCATGGGACTTGGCCACAACATGTATTTGGTCATGACCTCCCAGGGCTGGAACTACTGCTTCTTGGCAATTGTTTCTCATGGACCCTTTAAAAGTTGGTGGCTGAAACTTCTCCCCCAATAATATGATTACCCCAGAGAAAATTAGATCACCAGTAACTCCTAGGAGCAGGAGACAGAAAGACAGAATGAGGCACTGTTAAAGCAAAATGAAGGAGAAAGGTCCCTAACATACTTTCTTGTTTCACATCTTTCTCAAATTCAACCCAGGGCACTTCCAAAGTCAAGACATTTTTTAAGTCACAGAAGAAAGATCACTATTTCAGTCAATATAATTTTGTTAAGTATGTTTTTTAATGTTAATTCTTTGGAAATGGTCTAGCCCTGAACAATTGTTTACATGTAATAGGTGACTTCTCTATTTACTAAAAGATGTTTTTTATAACAATCCTTCCAGCTAAGGCCCATAGGGTTTACTTTGATTTCTAAGAGAAACCATTTTCATTACACTTTCGAAAGTTACTTATACTTCTATGCTGTCCATAGCATTCTGACAATTTTTATATTATAAAATAAGGACCATAATTCTCACCTCATAGGGTTGTTTATTTTTTTGAGAGAGAGGTTTTTCCTATAGGGCGGGTGCGCTCACCAGAAAGACAGAGACAGAGAGATAGAAAGCGAGAAATCACCCCCCAAGGGGGATGTCTATATCACAATCCCTTCTCCTCCATTCTCCTCTCGGGATCTTGGGCACTCTCACACACACACACACACACACACACACACGCCCAGTGTGAGTTTAAGCCACTGGGTCTGGGACTAGAACCACAGTTGGCTACATGGGAGTTCAGTGACATAGCCATTATGCTAATTGCTGGTCCCCTTATAGGGTTATGTTGAAGGTAAAACAATATAGGTTTGAAACATATTAAGAATTATACAAATGATAGGTGAGCTCATTATTAAGACTCTCAGAGAGGAATATCTCATTTTCTTCAAAAGGATTCTGCAGGTCTCCCATATTAGCTTCTTGGAAGGTAATGGTCTAAGTAGTAAGACTTCTGAATATGCTCTTACGCAATCCCCACATTTGAAGTCTGAGTTATATCAGATCATTTATACGTTTGCATTCAAGTGAACTATCACTAAAACCTAAAAGGAGAGAAAGCAACCAAACTGATGCAAAACAAACACAAAATATTTTATTGTCACTTAAAATTCATTCCCTAGACAATAGATAAACCACCATTGTTATTAGCAGATTCAGTGCAGATACACGGAGACAATGATCGACATGGATGAATGTAGAGACAGGACAAAAGTCAAAGTTTTTCCTGTTACTGAATTTTCCAAACACACATAATATTGGCAAAAAGAAACTTTCAATGCCAAACATGTCATTTATTTTTTTTTAAACGCCACCTATTTTATTTACTACACTTGACAGTGACTAAAGAATGAGGTACGGAAAACTTCCCAGAAGTCTGAGTATGGAGAAGTGCGAGGTGCCTGGGAGCCCCAAGGTCACCTTACTGAGGAGGACTCACTCAATCATGATTTCCCCACGCTCCAGGTTTACTATGTAGGAAAGAACTATTGACCTACCTCACAGAGGTGTTGTGAGGACCCATGCTTATAAAGTGCTTCAGGCGCCTTTGAAGAAAGGCAACATAGAAGTATAAAATAATCTTACATATTTCAAAAGAAATGAAAAGACAATTTTGGCACAATGGAAAGGGTGCCTCCTATTTTTTGTTAAAAAAAACCCTTGGCTATTTATAAAAACCCTTGACATCATGGTTTATTTATTTATTTTTATGTAAGAGAGTAAGTTGTTTCTCCATTGCCAGTTTTACAAAAGCCATTCTCAATCCAGCCTCTGTTATCAGAATCACTTGTAGAGTTGGTTATATTAAGTCATCAGGAAAGTCATGATGTATTTTTTTCTCTTTTTCTTTTCAAAAATGAATCATGACTTTCCTGACAACCCAGTACATATAGATGCTTGAGCCACAGCCTAGAAGTATAAAAATACAATTTGAAAGCATAGTACCCAGGCACCTATATTTTTTAAACCGTCTATAGGGTATTCTGATACATACCAAAGTTTAATATCCACTTCTTTAGGAAAATAATGTCAATTTATTAAACATTGAGTTTTCTTCTTGGAATATTGTCTTTAAAGTTAAATGTACTTGGATACAAATTTCTTAATGCCCGTGTCCTTTCTCATGTGCCATACCCACATATGCACACACACACTGTTTAGTTCTGCCCTTGAATTAAAATTTCAGTGGTAAAACCTGACGGTGCCAAACAAATGCTTCATTGGGCAGATAGGCAAGGACTTGAAAACCAGCCCCACTGTCCCCAAAGCAAATGGATGCTTCCCATTTGCCAGAATGGAATGGTTGAAACACACATTTTCGATTTGGAAATGGCTCAAATCAGTTCTTCCTTGGAAACATTAACTGAGTGGATGCTGACAGACCACCAACCATGAAGAAGGCTATACTGACTACCCCTCTCTATGGAGTTTGCCTGCATTCTAGGAAACACCTCATGAACTGGAACAATTTACATTCAGCGGGCACCAAATAGCCGGTGGTCACTTCATCAAGGTAAATAAAATAGCATAATGGAAACTAGTGACTAATTTAAAATACCTTTTTAGAACAATGATCAGTTTGCTCCATTGCAAACTGGCTTGAAGTCTCCTATTTACTAGCCAGTCTAATCCAGAGAAGAGTGATTTATTCCCTAGTGACCCTCCCACATATCCCACCGCACTTCTTGTATCAGTTTTCAAATAGAAGAGACCCCCCACTCCGGGTGCCTTGCCATGGGACTAATGGAATCCACAGAGAAACTAGACTCTAGACTTTCGTTGCACAAAGGAGGCTGGCCAAAATTTTCACAATGTTAAGAACTAATGATTATGAGTAAAACAGAAAAATCTCATTTCTTGGGGTAGAGGGAAAAGGAATACAAGAGAAAGAGGCTACACAAACAGGACATAAAGAATGGAGTATGCATGAAAAAATTCATTCAGGTGACCAGCAGATGGCGAAAAGTGTAAATCGCTGGTCTCCCACGTAGTTCACCACAGTTAAGAATCCCGGATCTGGCAGCTTAAAACTCACGCTGGGCCTGTGTGCATGCATGCCCAAAATCCCAAGAGGAGACTGAAGGAGAAGGGACTGTGGTGTGGCCATCCCCACTAGGGGATGATTTCTCACTTTCTGTCTCTCTGTCTCTGTCTCTCTGGCAAGTGCACACGCCCTATAGCAAAAAAATCCCTCTTTAAAAAAAAAGTCTTGACTCTAGAGAATTTGCTTGAGGATATGTTAAAATATTTTTGCTACGTATAGTATAAAATGACAAAAAAAAATAGTGTTTTCCAATGTTCCTCTAAACATTAGAGGCAACTTTGTACAAAAATGTCGTTGGTGTTGGTTTGGGGAGTTGCTTGTTGCAGGTATCCCATGACGGCAAGGCTGCTAGCAGTAACACTGCACCTCCCAGCAGGACGCAGAGGCCGCTAAAATAAAATGCAATGTCATAGGTCTGGGTCCAGTCATAAAACCAACCTGAAAAGACAATAAGGAAAACGTAAGTTTCCCAGAAGTAGTATGAACCACAAACCCATACCCTAATCTCATCAATCTTACATACAGTTAGGATCAGGATATATACAACCCCACCTGCTCCCAGTGTAGCCTATTGAGAATTAACAGAGGAGAATCTCTCAATATTAATATTGGAATAAGCCAACATTTTGAGTTTCTCCCAAATAAAGAATGAACCTCAGAATATGTATATCGGCTTTTTTAATTATATCAAAGTGATCTTGAAAGAAAACATCATTTACATGAGACATTCAATGCAGATTGTGCAAATCTGGATTGATATTGTAATCTGAATTTCAATGAAGATCAGATTTGTATTGCACCATAGAAAAGATCTTACCAACAATTGGTGGTCCAAGGCTATTTCCAAGTCCAGCGAAGAACATTAAAATCCCATAAGCATGAGCTAACTTTTCAATGCCCACGGTCTTCGTAGTCACATAGGGGAAGATGGACCAATTACCAGTTAGAAATCCTAGGATCCCAGAAAGTATTGCCAATGTAACATAACTTTTGGCAAATGGGATTGCACACAAGGCCAGTCCCATGACGATTAAAGTAGCTACGTAAAGATATAAGGTATTAATCCACTTAAAGTCAGCCAGTATCCCTAACAGGAGTTTGCCCACTGTTGTCATAATGCCTATAATGGAAATAAGAGGCATAATGAACTCCTCTTCTTTTACATTTGAACTTCTTGCTACATCTTCCATAAGTAATGAGGGTGGAAACCCTCCGATATCAAAAAGTAAGATAGCAACGAAAAGTGCTGAAAATACTTTGTTTTTAAAAAGAGCCACAGTTTCTCCACAGTAGTTTTTATATAATTGCCACTTCCTCTTGGCTAGCTGTTTGCAAAAATATGTCTGTTCTGCAACTTTCTTTTTGTAGGTTTCAGGCTCCTTTGGGTGGGCCATTGTAGTGGGGTGTTTATGAAGCAGACTCTCCTGTTTCCAGTCTCCATTGGCTAAAGGGCTCTTGCATTTTTCCTCACTACAGTAGCTCTTGTCAAGAATGTTTGTGTTTTCTTCCAGATTCTTTTCTTTTTCATTGTAAATGGAGTATCTATCTGGCACATTTTCCAGAGCTATTTTCTCAGGCAAAGGACAATCAGAGGACTGGAGGGGTCTCATCAGACTGCCACAGGCTAGTATGTTTAAAGCTAAAGCACCCACAATCAAGAGGCAACCGTCTAGTCCATAGAACTCGATCAGCATCCTCTGTAGAGCGGCATATATAAAAAGGCCCACACTTGACCCTAAAAAGGAAAAGAAGTAGGAATTGTTCAATTTCAACCTCCTATGATTTGGGGCTCTCTGGACAAACATTAGTTGTAATCACAATTCAATTTATTGTTTACACTGACATTCATATGTATCTTCATATTAAAATCACAACAAGAATATTGAAGATAACAACAATAATAGTAATGTTGATAGGACAGTTATTTTAATAATTAGCATGTATAATTTAAACACTGTTGACTAACTACTTTTCATTGAAAGATTTTTTCAGTCCTTCTAGTGAGTCCATTGAGTAGGTCTTAGTATTGTTCCCAATCTACAGATGAAGTGATCTAGGTCTAGAAAGACCGAGTTATTGGGACCAGCAGTTAGCGTAATGGCTACGTCGCTGGACTCCCATGTAGTCGACCGTGGTTCGAGTACCGGACCCGGTGGCTTAAACTCATGCCGGGCGCGTGTGCGTGTGTGCCCAAGATCCCAAGAGGAGAATGGAGGAGAAGGAAGTGAGGCGTGACCATCCTCCCTGGTGATTTCTTGCTTTCTGTTTCTATGTCTCTCTCTGTCTGTCTGGCGAGCACACACGCCCTATAGCTAAAACCTCTCCAAAAAAAGGAAAAAAAAAGAAAGACCAAGTTATTTTCCAGAGACCACAAAGCTCCAAATTGGATAAGTAGGATTCATAGTCAGTCCAACTTCAAACACCCATGCTCTTAACAAATATATTATGCGTTATACTTCTTTTGCACTTTGTATATGCCAGGATTCATGCTATATATGTTTCTCTTCGAAAAAGCAAATTTTCTTTTTTTTCTTTTTGAGACCAATGATCTGTATTTAGTTTTAGCATATGTATCATGGTGTTATAGCTCAAATTCATTGCTGACTCAACAGAATGAGTGATTCATGTAGTAATAAAATGATGAGAAAAGTGGAAATTTTTTTATGGAATTACTCTATTTAACTTTACTTACTTATTTATTTATTTTTAATTTGACCATAGAGGGACAGAGAGAGACAGAAAGGGACAGTGAGAAAGCAAGCTGCTAGGCCCAGGACCCAAACCGTGATCAGCCATGTGGGAGTCCAGCACCCTTAACCACCACGACACCTGCCAGCCCCAAAATGGAATTTAATAGGGCATTTAAATTATAAAATATGCTAGGACCAGCAGTTGACGTAATGGCTATGTTGCTGGTGTCCCATGTAGTCAACCACAGTTCGAGTCCCGAACCCGGTGCCTTAAACTCACAACGGGTTTGTGTGCATGCACACCCAAGATCCCAAGAGGAGAATGGAGGAGAAGGGATTGTGGCATGGCCATCTCCTTGAGGGGTGATTTCTCACTCTCTGTCTCTTTGCCTCTCTTTCTGGCAAGCGCATGCGGCCTTTAACAAAAACCTCTAAAAAAATTATAAAATATGCTGCTTTGTACATCTTGCAGTAGTGTAAACACGCCACCTTTTCAGCACTCATCATTCCAAACACACTGCCATTCCAAGTTACATCAGCCCAACTAATTTGCACTATTTTCATCTCATTCTGTCTTCAATATATTTAAATTGAGTATTTTAAAATTTAAATATCAATGGGAAATGCCACATGAAAGAGCAGGAAAGAAATAAGTAGATCTGCAAAAGAAATAGAGTCTAAACAGTTTGATCATAGGAATGGTCTATGCCACATTACACCAGAACCCCACAGAGATACGATCGGGACCAAGCACAGAGGCATCACTGATGTCATGGATATGCCTACTGTAAAAACACATCTTATCATAAATTACAGCAAATAACAAATGGCTCTGACTCCGACATGGCCATGGCTTAGAAAGATGCAGAAATTCTTTCAGAGCAACGAAGAGAACTTAAGAGTTTCTTTGTGGAATTTTGTGAACTATAAAACTACCAATTTTAATTTTCAAAAAGAGCATCCTACTTTAAAAACAATCAGTGTAAAGGGCAAAGTAAAATAAAATACTAATGCCTTCTTTCATGTAGGTCTAGATTATACATTACTACAAAGAGGGAAATATTAATTGGTGTTCAGCGAACCTAGAATAGTAAGAGATACACTAATGCTTTGATTAACTCATTAATACCAAGGGTCAATGAACATTTTTTATAAAGGGCCAGAGAGTAAATATGGGTTCCAATACAACTTTTTATGCACACTAAATTTCATATAATTTTCGCATGTCATAAATATTCTTTATTTTTGTGTCAATCATTAAAAATTTTAGAAACCGGGACCAGCAGATGGTGTAATTGTTATGTTGTTGTACTCCCAAGAAGTCTACCACAGTACAAGTCCAGACCCGGTGGCTTAAAACTCATGCAAGGCACATGTGCAATAGACCTAAGATCCCACGAGGAGAATGGAGGAGAAGGGACTGCGGCGTGGCCATCCACCCTGGGAAGTGATTTCTCACTTTCTGTCTCTCTGTCTCTCTCCATCTCTCCAGGAACCACATGTACCCTATAGCAAAAATCTCTTTAAAAAAATTTTTTTTTAGAATCCATTCTTAGCTCTTGGGCCATACTCAAACAGGCAGTAGACCAGATAGAACCCCCCAGCATTAGTGTGCCAACCCTGCTTACCACGGAGGCAGACTGCCTTCCCAAAACCTTTGTTTTGTACCCACATTCCTTTCTTTCAACTAGGTCACAAAATGTCAAGTATTTTGATTCGGGGTATTTTTTTAATTAAAAAAAAGCCTACTGTGATTTTGTTTTGTTACCATCTCTTTCACTAAAAGTGGATTCATGCCTCTTCCAAATTTCACCTTACCTAACTCCCTGTGAGTTATAACTTATAGCTCCTTCAAGTCTTGACTATCTATAATTGCTCCATTTTTTATTCACTGATCACATCCCAGGCCCTATATCCTCCTCGCTAGGCTGGGTGAAAAGCAAGAGCAATTCCCACACTTACATTCCCCAACATCTTCAACACAAATACATTTGGACGTTAAGAGAAATCTAGGTCATAATTACGATGGCTAACACTTTTAGACCTCTTGCCATGAGCCTCCCATATGTATACTCCTTTAATATTCCCAGGAACCAGACTCATTGAGTAGTGCAGTTATCCCCACTTTACAGTTCAGAAAACAGAAGTGCAGACAGTTATCCAGCACCAGACACCTAGTGACAGAAACAGGATTCAAAACCAGGTGGCCAGGCCTCAGCGTGTGTGCTTGTACCTCAACATGATTCTACATTATACTATATAAGAAGTCAAAGGATAGGTAAGACCCACTGTCCTGAAGGCCGCCGTGCCTCCTCTTGCACTCCCTCCCACACCTGTGAAAGATCCTGATATTAATAGTTTCTCTAGCTTACATTCTAATTGCTCAGGATTCCCATCTTCTGTTTTTTGCATACCTTCTCCTATTTCTGCCACAGCCATCTTCTCGGGCTGGCCTTTTCTCCCCCTCCATTATGATTCCCAGTTCTCACCTGGCAATGCTTTCTTAAACTACCTTGGGTAAATACCAACTGGATTCAATTCAATCAGGTATCACCTTGAGGCCAAAGGGTCGGCCTCGGGAAGAAAACAGATTGGATCCTGTTCCAGAATAACTACTAAAGTTACACAACCTGTCAAAAAGCCTGACCTCCCAGGAATACTTGCCTGCTAACAAGTAACATTTGTAAACTTACAACTAGAAAATTTGGCAGCTGTCCTCCCTAAAGAAACTCATAAACTACTGACCACAGAAATTTTGATAAGTTCCCTAAGCAACTTTAAAAGAACTCATCTGAAAACCAAAGCACCACTCAAAAATGTCCAAAGGAATCCAGAAGGCTTTTATATTTAAAATTTATATTTTTATTTACATCTTTTCCCCACAGTGTTCTTGATTATTAAAGGAATAGCAAGAATAAACAGCCTATCATGTGGATATGCATATAGGCTGGCAAGATGTATGTAGAAATCATTACTTTAGAAACACGGTGAGTTCCACAATAATGGAAGTAGAAAGATGATCAGTATCACTCTTTCTTGACAGTGGCTGTAAGGGTGTCAATTTTCTTTCCATTTCTATTTTTCTCAGGAATAAAGTACTTGATAGAATTGCCCTCTGCTCTTTTTTCAGCAAAGCACTCACCAGCATGTAACTCAATTTACTAGATCGATGGCTTTCTTCTCTTAGGTTATATTGGACATCTAAAGCCCCAGATTTTTCGTATATGTATGTTGATAGTTACTCTCATATTCATGATAAAAAATAAAATTTCCTTCTAGAACCAGAAAAGATTACTACCAACTATTAACTATTAGCTTAGTAATAGTTAAACATGCCTGTGCTTGGTAATTTTTAACTTTGTTTAAAAGGTTGAACAGTGACAGCATTGTACTCATTTTGAAAATGTACCTGTTGAAATTAGGCCAAGTGCAAGCCCTCGACGGCTGTCAAAATACTGGCATGTAATGGTCACTGTTGCAGTGTATAATAAGCCACATCCAAGACCTAAGTACAAGAAGACATCGCATAAATTAAGACACACTACATTACTTCAATGCAAAAAGAAATGAAAAATTAAATAAAATGGTCAAGTATCTCCAATAGAACACCGTTACTGACTGGCTAAATCTTCAGAGTGAGGATTCCCAGGCTCCTTCCATGTTAGCTATATAGCTCTCAGTTGAACCACCTCATTTTTCACCCGACACCCACATTAATGTCAGGGTCAAGTAAAGAAGCAATCCAGTTTCCAAAGCATGAATGAAAAATGCAAATGTAAATTAGGATATCATGGAGAGATAGAGAAAATGATTAAATCGTCCACTAAATAGCAAAATGTTATCAGATTTGCCCATTGTATTTGTCTCTCTACCAAGTTCTGGCTCTCAGCTACCTGTTCTTCCTCCTTTCGGTCCTCTAAACATCTTTTTAAAATCTCTATCATGAAGCCAGCAGATGGCATAGCAGTTACGTTGCTAGACTGGGTCACACAGGGCTGACCACAGTTCAAGTCCTGGACCCAGTGACTTCAAAATCATGCTGGGCATGGGTACATGTATGCCCAAGAACCTGGGAGGAGAATGGAGGAGAGAGGATTGAAGCATGGGGATGATTTTTTACTTTCCCTCTCACTATCTCTGTCTTTCTCTCCTTCCGGAGAACACATATACCCTAAAGCAAAAACCTCTTTTGAAATATCATCACTACAAACTATTTTGCTAGAGCTCATGTCTTGCACACCAAAGCCTTCATGTAGGTCTTCTGGAGTTCTCAGATAATCCCATCATAGTAAAATTTGTGTTAATGAGTCTTTTATCTTTGAGAAGTGTGTCCTAACTCATTTAGAAGTATAATGTCACAATGTTCTTAATGGATTTTAACATACCTTTGCAAGGAAAAAAAGAAAAGATGAATACAAAATTAAATTTAAGTGGCAAGCATATAGTTGTTTGCTGTACTATTACTGTTTTACTTTTAAATTTACTTTTCTATCAATTTTGTAAATTCTCCTTTGGTTCTAATTCATTCACTTTTTGCCTTTCTTCTGCAACAACTGTTTGTTCTTGAAGAACAATACATTGCCATAGCATACAAATCAAATTATAACTATGACTCAATAAGCAAATTATTATAATAATAACACTTATTACAGATGCTTCTTGACTTAAAATAAATGTAGGTCCTGATAAAGCTATCATAAGTTGAAAATATTGTAAGCAAAAAAATTCATTTAATACACCTCATCTGCTCAATATCACAGCCTAGCCTAACTTAAACATGTGTACAACACTTACATTAGATTATAGTTGGGCAAAGATAACACAAAGCCTACTCTGTAAGAAAATGTTGAATATCTCATGCAACTTATTGCATACTCTACTGAAAATGAAATACAGAATGATTTCTACTTAATGAATCAATCAGTTTCACACCACCATAAAGGTGGAAAATCATCAGTTGAACCGTCATGGTAAGTCAGGGACTTTAATAGCTATACGGACTATGATTAAAAGAAAGACATGCACTTAATAACAATACTCAAATACATTTTAGAAAATTGTGCACTTCAAACAACCTAGGACTCATATGCTCATCTGTGATTGCATTAAAAATTTTCTTAAAGAAACTAGATATTAGGTTGTTGGGAAACTCACAAGGTATTTTTCTTTGTTTTTCTATACAAAACTGCACCATGTCTTTCCCAATAACCCAACAGATTAAAACATACTTTAAATAAAATTCTTAAATGAAAGTAACATTCAAATTATTTAAGGAAAAAAATTACAATCTCACTAACTAAAACACGAGTTCGATTAATTTATATAGCTGTCATTCCTACATATTATAAGTCACTTCAAAATGTGAAATAAAACCTGTTTCTAAACAATCAATGTGATGAGGCCAAAAAATGTCACCCTTGACTGAGACTAAATTTTTGAAAGCCTTTGGAGGGTAAATGGATTTACTTTTCTGTGATTTGGCTGTCAGTACTCTGACAAATGTGAATTATTAGAGACATGAGTAAAAGACATTTCTGATAACTGAATGGTGATGCCAAAAATATTGAAAGACCAACTTCTAAACTTTTAGCCTTAGACTAAAAAGAAATCATTTTGAAAACATTATTTCAAGTCCATGGGATACAGGTAAGAATATCTCATTTTTTTTAACTCAGCAGAAATTTGAAATACATTTTCTTTAAACTTTTCACAAAGCAGAAAGTGGCATATCTCCCCACATCTGTATCAGTATAACCAGCAGTTATTAAAGAGAGGTCTGTGAACTCCTATGGCCCCTGAGATCTTTCGTAGAGTCTGTGGAGTTAAAACAATTTTTATAATAATACTAAAATGTTTTGTCTTTTTACCTGTGTTCCCACATATGCTGATGGTGCAAAACAGATGGTGAATAAAATTGCAAAAGCCTTAGCACAAATCAAGGAATTCATACTAAAATTTATACCTATAGGTTTCACCACCACACAACTCAGAATAAAGTCAAACAAATTTGTTTTAAATGCTTCATCTGAATGGCAATAATTGTTACAAGGAAAAACACACAATTTGTTTTAGTAGTCAGCTAAAATAACCACTTTTTCAAACAACCCTGTTTTTATTTGAAAGTATGTACGCCTAACTGTGGTTATTTAACCTTAGCTAGATCACATACTCTTTCTTGAAAATGAATCTAACAGAAACAATTGACAGTAATTCTCACATACAAGTTTTCCAGCAAAAAATTAGAATTTTAGAAAACTTTTATCTGCCATTATGAATTTGACAACTTCCTAATACATAAAGATTTTTTGATTAAGTCATTGATGATATTCACAAAAGTGATTTTTTGCTGTTTCATAAGAAACTTTGTTAACATTTTCAAGTTCTTACATAGCTCAGTAAACCAATATTTTTCAAATAAGCTATGCATGATATTTAAAAATCAGATAAGTACAAGATAAAAAAAATAGTTCTAATATAACAACATATTAAAAATATACTGATATGGTATTAGGTTCCATATCACAATTAATCTTTGAAAAACATATATACATATACATAAATATATATGTATACATATGTACATATATTTTTCTTCCTATTTCACACCCTCTGCCATTTCCCAACCTCCTCCCACACTATCTCAGGTGCCTACAGACAAGGTATTTCCCATTCCTTTTTTCCCCCCATATTTTATTGATTCACAAAATTTCTTAAATTCAGCTGGTATATACATATTGCGAATACATGTCTTACTTTAAACGTGAAACTCTGAGTAGAATGAATATACTATAAGGTAGCACCTAGCTGATGCTATATAGTTTACTACAGTCATTAAATAGATATTTTTAATATATTTTTTAATGTCAAGAAAAGCAGTTTTAGCTTTAATAAATCAAAGAAATGCCAAGAAACTTTGCTTAAAACTTAAAGCCACAAAACAGGTTAGGATTCTGTTCAAATAGTAGGTACAGGAACCTATTGGCATCTCCAAACAAGACAAAAATCCTTAAAACTGGAAAACAAAGCCTAGAAGAAAATTAGCAATGTTTTAGTCAAAAGTCATAAAATGCTATTTCACCAGTTTAGTCTCATGTACTTAATCTATCTTCTGTTGTGTTTTATCTTCCCGATTAAATTCTGGGATATTATATTCAACTCCAGACTTGTTCCTATGATTAAGTTGGCCATTTTCTTAGTTTTTGAACTCTTATTTCTGTGTGTCGGTATTTAATTTGGTATAGCACTCCCTTGAGAGCTTCTTAGAGATCTGGTCTGGTGTTGGTAAATTCTTTCAGATTTTGTTTACCTGAGAATGTTCTTGTCTTTTCCTCCCATATGAAGAATAATCTTGCTGGGTACAGTATTCTTCATTGAAATTGCTTTTCCCTTAACACTTTCAATATATTTTCCAGTTCTTTCCTTGCTCGCATTGTTTCTGATGAGAGGTCCACTGTTAGCCTGATGGGTTATCCTTTGTAGGTAACTTGCCATTTCTCTCTTGCCAATCTTAGTATCTTGTCTCTGTCGTTTTGGTCAATCTGGCTATAATGTGTCTTGGAGAAGATCTTCTTGGGTTGATTCTATTTGGTATCCTTTGTATTTCTTGGGACTGGATCTTCAAATGTCTCTCTAAGTTTGGAAAGTTTTCTTCCAGGAATTCATAGAATAGATTATCAATGCCCTTATGATTCTCTTCACCTTCTGGGATACCAATTATCTGGATGTTTGGATGTTTAATTGTATCTAGTATTTCTTATATATTATTCTCACTTTTCTTATATATTTTCTCAGTCTTCATGATAGATTTTTCTAGGACAGCAATTCTATCTTCTACATCTGAAATTCAATTTTCTATATGATCTAGCCTGCTTTTAATACTTTCAAGGGAGATTTTGAGTTCCTGTATTATAGCCTTCATCTCTAACAGGTCCATTTGACTGTTTTTCATAATGTGTATTTCTTCTTTTAGATCTTGCAAGAATTTCCTCACCTCCTGGAACTTATCAGCTTTTATCTCCTGCCTCTTCTGCAGTTCACTGTCTCTCTTCTTTTCCATCTCTGTTAGCTTTGTCACTATGAATATTCTAAATTCTTTATCTTACATTTCCATGAGTTTCGTTGTACTATCTGAGGATGAAGAGGACTTATTATTTTCCCTTGGAGGAGGGGTATTTTCTTGTTTTCCCATATTTCTTGTGACCCTGTAGTGATTTCTAGTCATATGATGCATGGTGCATTTATCCCTAATTCTTGAAGTTCCATCTGAGCGTTCAGCAGCATGCAGGAGGAGGTGATCTGCAATCTCTCTTCTGTTCCATTTTCACTTTTTGTGCACCTGATTCAGTGGGAATAGAGGAATATTCCGACCCCAATTGTATTCAGATGCTTGTATCCTGTTCACTTGGACCTATCTAGACACTTAGTGCATAGAGGCTGATCAGCCAATAAATAAGGAAAAAAGAAAAAGAATCAGAGAAGAGGAAAGAAGAAAAACAAAAGAAGAAAGAAAAAAGATAATAAAAAAAACTTTAGATTTTAATTTTTAAAAGCAAAAAATGAAAACCGCATGCCACGTAAAAGCAATTATTTCACAGCTCAAGTTCGGTATCCATCTTGGGATGGGCCTGCGTTTGTGACTTTCCTAAATGGAATAGGGAAAGAATAAAGGAGGGGCTTGAAAGCCCAGAGAATACTTTACCTTAAAAAAGTTTTTTTTAATTAAAAGACACTGAGATACACAGAGAGACAGAGAGAAGTGGAGAGAAGGAGACAGAAGTAGCTCTACCCACTAGAAATGAACCTGGAGGGAGAAAATGTTCATTTTTAGTCAAGGAAATGAAAAATCTTCCTATACATTTCAAGGAGACATGTAAATTGGTCAAACATGTTTATCTTGTTCAACAATTTAATTCACTAGACAAACATTTCACTAAGCAACAATTTTTAGTAAAGTGGTCACTGAAAGTCAATGGGGCCAGATAGTGGTTCAGTAAAACTCAGTGCTCTACAAGCCAAGTATGGAAACATCCAGAACATTCCAGCATTACCTGTTTATAATCTGGGGCTGGCTGAGGCTAGGGGCAGATCTGGGTACTGAGACCCTGTTTAGGGAGCTATCTCTCTCTTTCTCTGTCTCTCTTTCTCAGAGGATAAATAAGATTTTTTAAAAAGAAAGTGAATTATTAATGAGTGTTTTCACTCTTTATGTTAAGTAAATAATAGAGCTGGCTATGCTGAAATGATGTTTGACTCCTTAAATTATTAATGAGCGTTTTCACTCTTTACATTAAGTAAATAATAGAGCTGGCTGCTGAAATGATGTTTGACTCCTGAAGTTAGAAAACTCATAGTGACCAGATTCCTTACCTACAACAATGCCATAAGAAAAGAACAGAAAGTAGATATTGGGGGCAAAACTGCTCAACATCAGGCCACCAGCCACCATGAAGCCACTGAAGATGGTGACAGGTCTTGCTCCAAAAGATGAGACACAGAGACTGCAGACAGGACCTAAAAGGAGAAATGACATTTTAACTTGTTTAACAGTAACTTTGGACACACCATTGGATGATCCATCCATCATAAAAGTTCAAATGATTCTTTCCATCTTAAAATAGCAATAATAAACATTCACTGAGTATTTATAGTGCACTAGACACTATGTGACATACCTCACACAGACAATCTCATTTCATTGTAATCCAATGGCAGCCCTGGGGAGGTAGATACTATTATTATTACCATATGGGGATAAGACAACTGAAGCTTCAGGATGGGAAGATCATACAGTTAAAAAATGAAGACTTTATTTCAGTTCTAATTCCATTAGTTGCTTACCATTAGATCTCATGCAACTTATTTAAGCTCTCTGTGCCTGATTTTCTCCTTTGAAAATTGAAGTAATAATAGTACCCACCTGTTAGTATTATTGTGCACTGTTGACTGACAGGCAAAAGTGATTGTGACTTGAACTTGCTCTGTGCATAATTGGGCACAGTGGGATCTTAAACCCTCATGTAATAAGATTTAAATTGATGAAGCTATCGCTCATATGCACTGTACCCAAAAAGCACTACAGAGCTTGGCATATTAGAAGTGAAAAACATTAAGGATTATTCAACCCAACAGTATCATTTTACATGGAGGGAAGCTGATGCTCAGAGAGGTTGTCAAAGTTCAAATGAGAAGAAAGGATCTGGAGGCAAGGAGAAAACCTACCTGAATTGAATTGGCAATAGCCTTTCAAGGTACAAATTATGATCTTCAATAGGCAAAGACTACACCCCCCAGATGGCTAAAGACAGTGATGGTTAACAATGTGGAACAAGAAAAATGCTCATACACTGAAGGCACCATAGGAAAGCTGAACAGAACACACTGTAAAGTCATTAGATCGGATTCAGTGTATACGCCCAACAGAAATGCCCAGACCAACAGTCATATACATAAACGTTCATAGCAGCACTACTTCTATTAGCTATGTTCTAGAAACTCAGGTGTTCAGCTGTAGCAGCATGTATAAGTAAACTCTGGCATATTCATACAACGGACTGTTGCCTGGCAATGAGAATAGATGATCTACAACCACTCATAACGGGATTATCTCACATATACTTGATGAACATAGACTGAGTGGTAGACATGCAACACACAAAAAGTACAAATCATGTCATTGCAATGATAAAAAGTACAAGAACAGGCAAAACGAATCTACCATTAGAAATCAAGATAGTGGGGAATTATAATCAGAAGGGCATAAGGTCAGACTTCCAGAATATTCTCATGTTCCTCCTCGTATGAATGTGCTGACGATACGGATGGGTTAGTTTGTGAAAACACCACACTATACGCTCAGGACATTGGATACATTTTTACATACTTCTTTTACTTCTGTTTTAAGTCACCTCAACAGAGAAAATATGAAATCCTTCCTTAGTCTCACTATTACTAATTGGCAGAGCCAGGATGCAGTGACCTCAAGTGCCACATCCTTTCTAATACTGTAGAATCTTCCAAGCACACATGTTTACCAGCAGACTAAGACTAAGGAGAGGGCACACAGTTCCCAATGCCTACAGCTTTTCCACGTTTCTCCTTGGCCATGAAGTAGCTCCTGCCATTTTCAGTTTCTCTGTGTAGCCAGTCCGGAAGAGCAGAACTGACTTATTCGTGTGACAACCAAAGAGGGATGGTGCTTGCCCGTGTTTTAACAGGAAAATCCATTTGAAAGACCAAACTTATCCAATAGCTGAGCTGTCTGTAAACCCAATGAGAAATACTTAGATACATCAAAAATAGATTTTAAGAGTCAAATTTCAAAAATGGATGTCTGACAGCAAAAGGCCTGACCCTTCTCTGTTGTTTACCAAACTAAATTGACATTGAAAGTCAGTGTTTATAAATTTAAGAAGTACAATGAAATTAAAACATACAGTGATTATGACTGACCTAATTGAAAAGTCTCAAGTTTCATCCTCAAAATAATCCTTGAAATCTATGCTCTTTAATGCATGTTATGTCCACAAGGAAACCCAGAGTTTGGGTGGCTGGAGGTGACAATGAGAGGTAATACTTTTCATAGCATGTACAACTAAAAGCACTGTCTTATTAAAATATATAATATTAGTATTAGTCTATAAATTCCTAAATCATGTTTTGCCTAACACACAAGCCTTTAAAAAAAAATTAAGCATTAGGAAGACAGTCATAGAAATTCTCTGACAGATGAAAACAGCAAACAGAATACTGTTTTTCAAAGTTCTCTATTTTCACACTGCCATCTGCTGCTTACTTAGAGAAAAATATCTTGATGTCAGAGAAAAGACAAAGAAATTTTTAGGGCCCAATAAGGCCTTGGATATGCTACAGACACCTCATTTTAAAAATGATGAAAATGGGGCCATACAGTGCTTGGAGTGCTGGACTCCCACATGGCCAACCACAGTCCTACTTGGCAGCCTGTTTTCTCGCTTTCTCTCTCCCTGTCTTTCTCTGGTGGCACACATGTCCTGAAGCATTAATTAATTAATTAAATTTTTTAAAAAGTAAACAATTTTTTTTAAATGATGAAACTAGAACCAGCAGATGACATAATGGTTATGTCACTGGACTCCATGTACTCGACCGCAGTTTGAGTCCCAGACCCAGAGACTTAAAACTCACACCAGGTGTGTGTGTGTGTGTGTGCGTGTGTGTGCCCAAAATCCCAAGAGGAAACTGGAGAAGGGATTGCCGCCATCCTGTTCCCCTGGTGGTGGGGGGAGGGGTGGGGATTTCTTTCTAGTAAGCACAGACACCCTATAGCAGAAATCTCTCATAAAAAAAAAAGAAAGAAAGAAACTGAAGCTCAAAACAGTCATGTGGTGATGAATCCATAGTTAATTGATGAGAGGGCTAAAGCCAAGATCAGTCCAGTGTTCTTCCCAATTGTATTTCTGTTGGTATCTCCTATAATTTGAATATCTCTGTCAAAACTAATGCTGTACTGGGACCAGCAGATGACATAATGGTTACGCCATCGGACTCCCACATAGTCGACCATGGTTCCAGTCCCGGACTGGTGTCTTAAAATCATGCCAGGAGCATGTGCATGCATGCGTGCCCAAAATCCTGAGACTGGAGAAGTGACTGTGGTGTGGCCATTTCCTCTGGGGGTTGATTTCTCACTTCCTGTCTCTGTCTCTCTGTGTCTCTCCAGAAAGTAGTGCATGCGCTCTATTCTCCAGAAAGTAGTGCAGGCGCTCTATGAAAAAAAAAAAAAAAAAAACAACTAATACTGAACTTAACTGCCACTGTAACAATATTAATAATAGGTAAGTCCAAATAAGAGGTGATTAGGTAATGAAAGCTCCACATTGAACTAATAAAATAATCCATTCAAGAATCATTGAATTGATGGATTAATCTTTTCAGAAATTAATGGATTAATGGACTGATGGGCTATCCTGAGAGTGGGTCGTTTTAGAGGCTGCCTTCTTGCGCTTTCTCACATGCACACACAAGTTTGCCCTCTCCCTGTGTGACGCCTTCACCATGGACCCTTGCCAAATGCCAGCAACATGCTCTTACACTTCCCAGTCTCCAGAACCTTACACAATCTCCATTCTTTATAAACTACTCAATCTGTGATAGTCATAGCAAATGCAAAATAGACTAATATAGTGTCATAGTTTTTTTTTTTTTCCTAGAAATCAAACTACAGTATCAGTAAAGAATACCAATGTACTTTTGTTAATATCTTGCAGACTAAGATTGGTTTATAAACTTCAGTCAGATGAAAACAACACTTCTGGTCATTTGGGATTTAAAAGTTTATCTTTGTTCTAGTCTATTCTGTTCCTAATAACAGAAGATACCTGAGTCTAAGGAATTTGGGAGAATAGAAATTTATTCACCTCATGGTTTGGAGCTCTAAGGTCCAGGGAAGGCATCTGGTGAGAGTCTTCTTGCTGGTAGGTCACATAGCAAGACAGCACAGCTGTGTCTGTGTCTGTTTCTCTGTGTTATTCCCTCTCTTATAAACCTATCGGGATTCTATCATGGGCCCCACCTCAATGCCTAATCACTTCCTGAAGGCCCCACCTTTCATCATTATAATCAGACTAAGTTTCCTCTCATTACCTTCACAATACAACCAAATTCTAACACATGAACTGTGAGCGGACACACTCAAACCATGGCAACCATCACCTTAGAACTAGGGAATTTAAAGATTCTATGTACATATATTTAAAAACACAATAGCCTCAAATTTTATCAATAATAATTAGAGCAAAGGATAACTGGAAGTGTCCATCAACTCACATCTGCAAAACATTACACATTTGTTGGTATTCAGCTCTTTGCAATAACTTGTCTTTCAAGACAATAAACCATGCATTATTCCTTAACACAGGATGAGATTCAAGAGACAAATAAAATGGAAGGACTCTCCTCAATGAAGATTTCTTATGATGCTTCAGGTACTTTCACTTCGCAGGAAGAATCTCTAGAACAAAAGTCAATTAACCCATAATATGAACCAGTGATTCCAAGCCTTTTCTTCACACTGAAGTCAAAAGCTTTAGAAAAAATAAAGGAGGAGGTGTCCTTCTTTTTTGTTTTAAAAATACGTGGTTTAGATGTAATACCATCTATTATTACCACAACCTCATTAGAGATGAAGGAATATTCTAAATAAATAGAAGATATAATTTAAAATGAAATGCAAGACAGTAAGCCAACAAGCGAACCCTTTTACACACACAAACACACACACACACTCACACACATTCCATGTACCACTGCCTGTGTGTTCATTTTGCCTTTGGTTAAAGTTTCCCTTGAACTTAAAGCTTTCCGCATATTGCTATTCTGAGAGCCATTACTACTGCTGTCAGCTCTGGTGTTGAGAAACCCCTATTGCTATCACTTTCTGTTCAGGAGATTATTCTTTTTCTTTCTTATATTTTATTTTTTTTTTAATTTGTCAGGGACACATGCCCTTACCAGAGAGACAGAGAAAGAGAGGG